GGTGAATACATACTGTATGCACGCACCACTTTTCCGCTATTTATCTTTTAGAATTTTTTGAAATAAGTTATTTTTTTCATTTCACTACACCAATTTGGACTATTTTGTTTATGTCCATTACATGAAATCCAAATGAAAATCCATTTAAATTATGGGTTGTAATGCAACAAAATAGGACAAACACCAAGGGGGATGAATACTTTTGCAAGGCACTGTACATACATTCATATATAGTATTATTATTATTTCAGTGTCATACTCCAATTGGTGCCCAGCCCACATTATAAGATATTATTTATTAGTTGCTGTTCCAATGTGACAACAGGGGCAGGAGGGGAGAGCACACACACGGCGGGAACTCATTAAGAACCAGCCACTAACAAGATCTAAAGGAAATACTGACACAGCACTATAGATGATATATAAGAACATCTACTTTATATCTTAGCTCATTAGAGCTTCACTATTACAACCAACAGTCAGTTCAAAGATATAAGAATCTTTGAAAATGAAAATTAAATTGTATTAAAAAAGCATAATATTCTCCATATTGTCAATGTTTGACTATTTTGAGTACTGGCACGTGGTATACCTACAACTAAGTTCTCTTTTTTTTTGCAGCACCTTTTCAACTTTGGCATCAGATTGATTTATATCTGAGTGTACTGAAATATCTTGTAAAAAATGCCACCAGATAAAGAGTAACAGAAACTCAGAAGCAGAGATAACAATCACAGGGAAATCAATGTAAGGAGGGGGCTGCAGGGAAGTGACATGCCATTATAAAAAATCCTGATGATAGCTTTTTCAGATGTCACTCAAATGATAATTTCTGCTGAGATTGGCATGCTGATAACACCCACCACACACACCAGGGTTTAATTAATTAAAAACCGATAAATACAATTGTAGCCGGCCAAATTGTCCATGGCAGCATATCATACATCCCGATTTTGTGCTTCAGCACCATTCTCTCATTCCTTGCGCGCTGCCTTATGCGCCTGATGCTGAGGAGAGAGAGAGCGAGAGAGGAGCCTTGGGATACTGTTGATTGCGAAGATGGAGGCCTTTTTCATTGAAGTAAAATGAATGTTCGAGAGTATGCCTATAGTGAAAAGCCTACCAGGGGAATGTCCTCCATATGGGCAAGTTTTAATATTTTAGTGGACAAATATGGGAAGAACGTTGGCGCGGCCAAATGCAGGCTACTGTGCAACTCGCTATTTTGGAACCGTTTTTTTTTTCCTCTCGTATTTATAAACATTTGTTTTATCATTACTGTATATAATTGTTATTACTGTAGGCATATTTTTTAATCTAAACCAGTTCTTTAAATATGCAAAACATGTTTTGGTTAACTCAGACATTTTCGTTGACTAAATTAAGTTCGATCTGTCTTTTTAATTGTGTGCTCCATATTTAGTTTAAGATACAGTAGGTTATAAGTAGGCCTGTTGTAAAATACTGTACATATCATTAGCCTATTGCTGTACATTTGTTGGGTACAGTAGACACTAGCCTTTCTTGGTAATTTCTGCAATACAGCCTGTTCAAAACGTTTGTGAAGGTTTAAACCAGTTAGCAAGTGTTTTGTTTAATTCTGAACCATTTTCTTTGGCCTAATTAAGTTCGAGCTGTAATATAATATCCTGCTCGTATTTTCTCTAAGAAATGGCTTAACTTACTTTTGATATTAGCCTAATAAAGTGTGAAGGTTTGGTGTTGTGTGGCTATTAGCCCATTATATTGCAGGCCTATGACATGAAGGCATTGTGCACCGGTGCTCCAACTGACTTCGACAGATTAACTTGGTGAGGAAGAACGTTTGAGGCCTAACAGAGTTACTCCTATAATATTACAATAAAATATTCTGATTGAAAATGAATGAATAAGCCTCCTTCTGTACACCTATATCTGTATAGCAGAGACAGTAGGCTAGCCTATCTGACAAGGATACTGAAATACACGCCGGTGTCATAACATGCCGTCGGTCATATCTCTGGGGCTAGGCCTAAGCTTCTCACTCATTCTCTCACACACACACACAGTGGACGCCTAAGCCTATAGGCCTATGCATGCAATGCCCTGATGCATTAAGTGCTGAAATCTCCAACATCTGAACCGTGAGGTGGACAATTATTATTTTAGGAAAGTAAAAACCAATAAAACAATAGGCTATAAAGTTTTGTAATGCTACACATCGAAACACAAGCAATAGTGTTTCTGTCATTTGTTCTAGGCTATTTTTAAGGACACGGTAATGTCCCTAGTTTTTTGGTGGCGCTGGCTGCATGGGTCGACGCCCTAATGGGTTACGCACCCAGTGCATATGGATGAGCGGTACATTTGTTAAATAAAAATCCTCCCGGTCACATGTCCGGCACTAACTTTTCCTAACGGGGAAATTAAACGACACACACACACCATTGAAGATAATGTTATTTTCTCAAATTGACCAATTGATTCAATTGGTTCAGCCAAATAACAAAGACAGACAAGGTTGGTTTGGAAGCTGTTGGAGGCCTTTAATATCCGTCCCCATTAAATGATAGGCCATTTTAAACAGTGAACGGCTATCCTAGAGTGGTAAAGGCTCATGAGAGGTAAATTGTTTCATACATGTATGAACTAGATGTGCAAGGGATGAAAAACACTGACATCCACACAGGTAAAGGGAACTGGTAATGGAAGTATGTTTCTCTCCAGGACAATGGTTTAGGACTATGATTTCACTATCCTATTCTAATTATCCTCTATATCGCACTCAATTGTTAACTGAACAGCATTTAAGAAACGTTAATTAAAATGTCACAACTTCTAAAAGAGATCTCTTTAGTTAGTGGCAATTATTAGCTTACAGCTTGTTTTGAAATTCAGAAGTGTTAGTATCGAACAAAACAACCAATACTTTGAGTGAAGAAACAATTGATCTTGAGCTGATCGATTTTCCCAAAGATTATGGCAGCCTATCTATCCACTCAAATAACCATTGGACTGAGATGAAGAGGAAAACATCCTTCAAAGATAGAAAGTGTTCTAACACTGCACAAAGGCCCAAGAAGGCTATTCATGTGGAACCTTGTTCTCTCTCTTCTAGATCAGAGCAGAGCAGAGCTAAAAATCATTTAAAGCCTAATCCAGAGGAAGAAGTCGACTTCAAAGTAGAACACAGCTCAGTGACTTCCTAGATTCACAGTTTCAAGTCATGACCGGTGGTAGAGATGGTTGTAGGAGGTTGGAAAGTATCTCTACCACTGAAAATACCCTGAAAATAATACTCTTTGTTGGGGTCAAAGCACTCAAGAAGAAGGTGCCATAATGCACTAACTATCCAATATGATGTCTGCTGTTTTGGTGCCATATACACTACTGAAAAGTCTGACATCCAGTGCTGATAAACTACCAGTAGACAATCTTTATGGCTGCTTCAACTCAATCAGTACAGAGCAGATTAGAATGAACCCATGCGTACAATTAATTCATTTCCTAATCACAATTTCAACCGAGGAGCAATAAAACTATAGGACTGGTTTGATTTATGATTTGAAAGCTTCCCCACTCACCACAATTAGCCTCGTCTGACCCGTCCGTGCAGTCTGGGTCCTCATCACACACCCACAGCTTGGAGATGCAGTGCATGGAGGCCTTACACTGGAACTGATCCGGGGAACAGGTGCTCTCCGCTGTGGAGAGGAGGGGGTCCAGGTTTACACCAGGTCAAATCAAATCAAATTTTATTTGTCACATGCGCCGAATACAACTGATGTAGACTTTACCGTGAAATGCTTGCGGGGAAGGGAGAGAGCGATAGGGGAAGGGAGAGCGTGATAGAGAGAGATAAGGGAGAGAGAGAGAGAGATAAGGGAGATGGAGAAAGGAAAGACATTTAGGAGTAAGAGGCGAGCAAACAGCCCTAAAGCCTTGAACACATGGATAATTTACAGAGGCAGGAACAGAGAGAAAACATGCTGTGTTAATAACATGTATTACTATACCTTACAGATGCCTCTGATTTAGAAATAACTGACTTGCAAACAGGTTAACACAATAAACAGCTCAACCCAAATTGCAGCTATCTAGAAACATCCAAGTCAGTTTAAAACACTGTTAACCATCCATGTCAATTCACCAGTTAGCGAAACCGTGGTATAGTATCACTGCATACCAAAAGCAGCAGTAGTTGTCTTCTGTTCCTTTCTTAACCTTCCCATTGTTACACGACAGCACCATTATCTGTTGATTGGCACCACCAGATATTGGTGACACCTTAATTGGGGAGCACGGGCTCATGGTAATGGCTGGAGTGGAATGGTATCAAATACATCAAACACATGGTTTCCACTCTGTTCCAGACATTATTATGAGCTGTGCTCCCCTCAGCAGCATCCTGGGATTGGCACAGTGTTCCTGATAAGATCTACCACATTTACATATGTACATCTACAGTCTGATTAAGAGTGAGAATGCCTATGACACCTACAGTGTATTGGGATGGCTGAAGTAATTATATACCTCTCCTTAATCAAGGCTTATACTGACTTTCACTCCATAGTGACTCTCACTCCATCTTGAAATCACAGGCAAGCAAAACAAATGTAGCAACCCACATACATTTTGTCAGAGGTATAACCTTACTGCTGATAGCTAGAGTTACCATCAAATAATATAAATATCTATCGCATTCTAATTCAATGATAGCTAATCCTCTCACACAGGGAAAGGGCTGAACAAGCATGCCTTTGGAATACCTAATCACTATCTGACTCCCTATTATTTAAGTCAACACGTAAGGGTAGGCTGTCTGAGCTTCACTATAAATTCACTGGTAAAGACCTTTAGGATTATTTGTCTCAACCTGTCAGATACCACTTTTACACCTTCAAATAATACGTTCCAGCTCACTCTTTGTTGAACTGCTGGCAAACAAATATCAAACAGAAAATAATCCTATAGAAAAAGTATAGCCTAAGTAAAAAAAAAGTAATCCTAAAGATTGTCCTTTAGAAGTCATTTAGAAGGTTCTTCTTACGACAGTCTGTCTCATCCTCTCCGTCGCCACAGTCATCCTGTCCGTTGCAGCGGAGGTTTAGAGGGATACACTTCTGTTTCCGGGTGCATTTGAACTGCCCTGACAGGCAGATGTACGTCTCTGAAAGATAAAATAGAGGAGAAGAGGTAGAACCAGTGGTGAAAATCATCCTTCAAAGAAAACATGTAGGACAAAAGGCTGCATCACCTTAATGTAAAGTGAAGTTGTTGACTTAGCAAACAACAACCTAATAAAAAAAAAAACAATGCTTTGAAATCAAAGCACATCCACACATGGGCTTGTTATTGTGACAGAAATCTATACTTCTTATTTTTTTATATTGCAGCAACATTTCTTGAAAAGGTATCAAGCAGTAAGAAAGGTATGAAGCTGCTGGCTAACGTATTGTTTGATTTTCCATCTGAACATCAACAGGTTCAGTGTGAAAGACAGTAACAACTACAGTCTTATTCTTTAATGGACATGTTATTGTGGCCAGATACCAGACGTATGTGTTTGTGTTGCAGCAGGTTGTATTGAAAGCTATCATTAAAGGTATGAAGATGCTTGAAGACGTATTGTTTATCTGCTCTTTCCCCTGAACATCAACAGATAACAGACTCTTACAGACAGACTCAGTGTGAAGGACAGTAACCTCCCTATAAATATAATTCCTACAACTGGGAAGCCCCTCAGACCACAGCAATTTGACTTCACCAATCTTCTTGAATGGGGATGCCTGTTCCAGTCTTCCTCCTTACCACAGTTGGCCTCGTCTGAGTTGTCTCCACAGTCGTTCTCCCCATCACAGATGAAGGGAGGTAGAGCACAGAGGCCAGTGCCACACTGGAACCGCCCGGGCTGACATTTGAATTCAGCTGCATGAAAATTAGCAATGTTATCTCAGAGAATGCAAAGCCAGCAAATTACAGTACTTGTACACTGAACATTACATATGCTCACGTATTGTGATAAGATAACATTTGTAATCTAAAAATGTAAAACAGCATTTCTTGCATTTCTGAAAATATTTCTCAAAAGAAATGTGTAACTAAGTAGCATTTGTAAACACGCATTTAATACACATTCTAAAGTTCATTTCAAAACGCAGCATATTTAAAAAATATTCTCAGATCACAGCAAAAATGTCACTTGAGTGTAATAACAAATGTAGTTTCCAAGGCTGGGTTATAGATTAAAACCCCTAAAGTTGCTCAGTGTGAATTTGGCCTACCATACCAGGATCCCCAGTAAGTCCAGTAATGCATAGTTTGTATAAATGGGAAAATATGATACTCACGACAGTCAGCAGGCTCGTCTGATCCATCGCCACAGTCATCCACAGTGTCACACTTCCACCAGAAAGGAATACACTCATCTGTCCCGCAGCGGAACTACAGAACACACAAATTAATCAGACAGAATTCTAACTCAACACAAAAATGTATTCTAACTTTCCATTCGAGTTGTTCCAAGCATAACAAGCAACACTACAATTTTATTGGGACTTAAGCTACAGAAGCAGGGCAAGAAAGAAGAGACTGTGATAAACAAAGTGAAAAGGCATGAAACAACAGATCTATCTAAAACACAGAATATAATAACAAACTGGAAGAGATTTACCATATTATCTATAAGTGCCGAGGAGAGTGTGAGGGACTAGGCACTGACCTGACTTGCAGTGCAGTTGGAGAGGCAGGTCTTATTGTCAGCTGCGAGGTAGAAATTAGTTGGACAAGCACACTTGTGTTCCCCGCTGGGGGAGAGGAGACACAAGTGGCTGCATCCTCCATTGGCCACCTGACACTGGTGCTTGGGCACTGCACAAGAGGGGGGGGGGGTTCAACATAATTAAATTGAACATTAGCCACATTCTTAATACCATACCCTATATAATCACATCCTACATAATAATAGCATAACCTATGTAATCATAAAGAATATGACAGTCGCTATGGGTTGGCAGGTGAGGGGACTGCTTTGCTGGGTGGGTTACCTTCAGGTTGGCGTAGTGAATGGTAAATCTTGACAGACTTGATGGCTTGCCAGGAGTTGAGCAGCTCTATCCCCTGGGCCCCAGTTGTTTTATGTGCCCTTCGGAGTGACTTGGATTTCCCATCCGTCCAGTAGACAAAGTCCTCAAACAGTGTCAGACCCATCACCCCTTGGATGTGGTCGTAGGACACTGGGAAGAGACACAATACAGGTAAAAGAGACTCTCCATTAGTGGAGGAGCATGCAGCATGACAGCATATCTGTCTTACCAAATACAACTATTATGACTGCAGAAGCCAACAAATGATCAGCAGTGTGTTCTAATCAGACCTGTTTAAATGTATTAGTTTTCTTTAAAATACTTGTAATACTTCAAATATTTCCATTATTCTCCAATTTGTTTTGAGGAGGTGAGGAGAGAGGATGCAAGGAAATGTACCCATTGTATTCTGCCTCACCTTTGTGTCTCTGTGAGCCGTCCATGTTGGCAAACAGAATGTGGTTGTCGTCAGCCCAGTACAGCCTCTTGTTGGTGTAATCTATAGTGAGGGCAGTGGGGCTGTAGATCTCCTTGTCGATGATAACGACCTGCCCACGGCCATCCATGCCCACACGACCAATATAAGGGGACTCACAGCAGTCCACCCAGAACACATATCTAAACAGGGAGGAATGTGGAGAGTTCTTTGAAGATGTCACTAACAAAACATAGTAGGTTAGCATAATCTAAGTTAATGGTCCTAATTGGAAAAACCCTGAGAAGTAAAAGTAGGCTCATTATTGTCACCACCTTGCTTCTGGATTGAGCTGTAACATAAATGTTTGAGTCAAAGGTTAGAGGATATACACGTACAGTTGAAGTTGGAAGTTTACATACACTTCGGTTGGAGTCATTAAAACTTGTTTTTCAACCACTCCACAAATCTACTTTGTGCATGACACAAGTAATTTTTCCAACAATTGTTTACAAACAAGATTATTTCACTTATAATTCACTGTTTCACAATTCCAGTGGGTCAGAAGTTTACATACACTAAGTTGACGGTGCCTTTAAACAGCTTGGAAAAATTCCAGAAAATGATGTCATGGCTTTAGAAGCTTCTGATAGGCTTATTGACATCATTTGAGTATATTGGAGGTGTACCTGTGGATGTATTTCAAAGCCTACCTTCAAACTCAGTACCTCTTTGCTTGACATCGTGGGAAAATCAAAAGAAATCAGCCAAGACCTCAGAAGAAATGTGTAGACCTCCACAAGTCTAGTTCATCCTTTGGAGCAATTTCCAAATGCCTGAAGGTACCACGTTCATCTGTACAAACAATAGTACGCAAGTATAAACACCATGGGACCGCGCAGCCGTCATACCGCTCAGGAAGGAGACGCGTTCTGTCTCCTAGAGATGAACATACTTTGGTGCGAAAAGTGCAAATCAATCCCAGAACAACAGCAAAGGACCTTGTAAAGATGCTGGAGGAAACAGGTACAAAAGTATCTATATCCACAGTAAAACGTGTCCTATATCGACATAACCTGAAAGGCCGCTCAGCAAGGAAGAAGCCACTGCTCCAAAACCGCCATAAAAAAAAGCCAGACTACGGTTTGCAACTGCACATGGGGACAAAGATCATACTTTTGGATAAATTTCCTCTGGTCTGATGAAACAAAAATAGAACTGTTGGGCCATAATGACCATCGTTATGTTTGGAGGAAAAAGGGGGGCCTTGCAAGCCGAAGAACACCATCTCAACCGTGAAGCACGGGGGTGGCAGCATCATGCTGTTGGGGTGCTTTGCTGCAGGAGGGACTGGTGCACTTCACAAAATAGATGGCATCATGAGGAAGGAAAATTATGTGGATATATTGAAGCAACATCTCAAGACATCAGTCAGGAAGTTAAAGCTTGGTCGCAAATGGGTCTTCCAAATGGACAATGACCCCAAAGTTGTGGCAAAATGGCTTAAGGACAACAAAGTCAAGGTATTGGAGTGGCCATCACAAAACCCTGACCTCAATCCTATAGAAAATGTGTGGGCAGAACTGAAAAAGCGTGTGCGAGCAGGGAGGCCTACAAACCTGACTCAGTTACACAAGCTCTGTCAAGAGGTATGGGCCAAAATTCACCCAACTTATTGTGGGAAGCTTGTGGAAGGCTACCTGAAACGTTTGACCCAGGTTAAACACCCATGACTGTGTGGCCAAGCACGCCTCCAACTCAATCATCAAGTTTGCAGACGACACAACAGTAGTAGGCTTGATTACCAACAATGACGAGACCGCCTACAGGGAGGAGGTGAGGGCTCTGGGAGTGCGGTGCCAGGAAAATAACCTCTCACTCAACGTCAACCAAACAAAGGAGATGATCATGGACTTCAGGAAACAGCAGAGGGTGCACCCCCCTATCCACATCGACGGGACCGCAGTGGAGAAGGTGGAAAGCTTCAAGTTCCTTGGCATACACATCAGTGTGGTGAAGAAGGTGCAACAGAGCCTCTTCAACCTCAGGAGGCTGAATAAATTTGGCTTGGCACCTAAAACCCTCAAACTTTTACAGATGCACAAGTGAGAGCATCCTGTTGGGCTGTATCACCGCCTGTTACGGCAACTGCCCCGCCCGCAACCGCATGGCTCTCCAGAGGGTGGTGCGGTCTGCCGAACGCATTACCGGGGGCAAACTACCCGCCCTCCAAGACACCACTTTAAGAAATGGAACACTAGTCACTTTAATAATGTTTACATATCTTACACTACTCATCTCATATGTACAGTGAGGGGGAAAAGTATTTGATCTCCTGCTGATTTTGTACGTTTGCCCACTGACAAAGACATGATCAGTCTATAATTGTAATGGTTGGTTTATTTGAACAGTGAGAGACAGAATAACAACAACAAAATCCAGAAAAACGCATGTCAAAAATGTTATAAATTGAGTTGCATGTTAATGAGGGAAATAAGTATTTGACCCCTCTGCAAAACATGACTTAGTACTTGGTGGCAAAACCCTTGTTGGCAATCACAGAGGTCAGACGTTTCTTGTAGTTGGCCACCTGGTTAGCACACATCTCAGGAGGGATTTTATCCCACTCCTCTTTGCAGATCTTCTCCAAGTCATTAAGGTTTTGAGCCTGACATTTGGCAACTCGAACCTTCAGCTCCCTCCACAGATTTTCTATGGGATTAAGGTCTGGAGACTGGCTAGGCCACTCCAGAACCTTAATGTGCTTCTTCTTGAGCCACTCCTTTGTTGCCTTGGCCGTGTGTTTTGGGTCATTGTCATGCTGGAATACTCATCCACGACCCATTTTCAATGCCCTGGCTGAGGGAAGGAGGTTCTCACCCAAGATTTGACGGTACATGGCCCCATCCATCGTCCCTTTGATGCGGTGAAGTTGTCCTGTACCCTTAGCAGAAAAACACCCCCAAAGCATAATGTTTTCACCTCCATGTTTGACGGTGGGGATGGTGTTCTTGGGGTCATAGGCAGCATTCCTCCTCCAAACACGACGAGTTGATGCCAAAGACCTCGATTTTGGTCTCATCTGACCACAACACTTACACCCAGTTCTCCTCTGAATCATTCAGATGTTCATTGGCATACTTCAGACGGGCCTGCATATGTGCTTTCTTGAGCAGGGGGACCTTGCGGGCGCTGCAGGATTTCAGTCCTTCACGGCGTAGTGTGTTACCAATTGTTTTCTTGGTGACTATGGTCCCAGCTGCCATGAGATCATTGACAAGATCCTCCCGTGTAGTTCTGGGCTGATTCATCACCGTTCTCATGATCATTGCAACTCCACGAGGTGAGATCTTGTATGGAGCCAAGGCCGAGGGAGATTGACAGTTATTTTGTGTTTCTTCCATTTGCGAATAATCGCACCAACTGTTGTCACCTTCTCACCAAGCTGCTTGGCGATGGTTTTGTAGCCCATTCCAGCCTTGTGTAGGTCTACAATCTTGTCCCTGACATCCTTGTAGAGCTCTTTGGTCTTGGCCATGGTGGAGAGTTTGGAATCTGATTGATTGATTGCTTCTGTGGACAGGTGTCTTTTATACAGGTAACAAGCTGAGATTAGGAGCACTCCCTTATGCAAATCAATTTATAAAAATTTTTACATGCGTTTTTCTGGATTTTTTTGTTGTTATTCTGTCTCTCACTGTTCAAATACTTTTTTCCCCTCACTGTATATACTGTATTCTATTCTATAATATTCTACTGTATCTTAGTCCATGCCGCTCTGTCATTGCTTGTCCATATATGTATATATTCTTAAATTCCTTCCTTACTAGATTTGTGTTTATTGGGTATATGTTGTGAAATTGTTAGATATTACTTGTTAGATATTACTGCACTGTCGGGGCTAGAAGCCCAAGCATTTCGCTACACCCGCAATAACATCTGCTAAACACATGTATGTGACAAATAAAATTTGATTTGAAATACTAATTGAGTGTATGTAAACTTCTGACCCACTGGGAATGTGATGAAAGAAATAAAAGCTGAAATAAATCATTCTCTCTATTATTATTCTGACATTTCACATTCTTAAAATAAAGTGGTGATCCTAACTGACCTAAGACAGGGAATTCTTACTAGGATTAAATGTCATGAATTGTGAAAAACTGAGTTTAAATGTATTTGGCTAAAGTGTATGTAAACTTCCGACTTCAACTGTAGGTCATTGTGTCTGATACAGTGACCAGACTGTGGATCGAGGTCCAGGTCAGTGGGTTTAGCGTTAGAGGTCAGAGGATGGAGGTCAATGTGTCTGATAGAGTACCCTGACTGTGGATCCAAGGCCAGGTCAGTGGGGTTCCTGATACCAGTGCTGACCAGGACAGAGGGGTACAGTCCATTAGCCTTAGACACCTCCAGGCTCTTCCTCTCGATGTCACACCAGTACAGGTTCTTCCCTATCCAGTCCAGGGCCAGCGCACTGGGGACGGCCGTCCGATGGACTATCTGGTGAAAAAGAGAGGGGGGAAGGGGGGTATAAACATCTAGCAGAGACAATGTCAACAACAAACGAAACACTCATTATATGATTAATGCCTGAAACAAGTAAAAGATTGTTATAAAAAGTGAAAAACCTCATCTTAATGAAGGTAGAATCATACAGTAACTCTCATTCAATGTCTCTCATTTCATGCAGCTTTTGAATTAGCAAACCAGTTGTTGTGAATAAACAATGATAGTGCCAGCTGGCACATGAAACTGGTGCTTTGAAACACTATTTTAAACCCAACAACATCCATGCAATCTGCCATTAAAGGACATGATGCACTTTGAGGTCTTCTCTATCCTCATTTGCAAGAGATATATAGCCTTGCCAAGTCAACTGGGCTGTCCCCTAAGCAGTAATTTAGACGAAACTGGAGCTTAAACAGTCTCCAAAATGTCACAAATTGAGGAGAGTTTTCTATCAGAAAAAGGCGCTCCTGAGAAGGTAAAAAGACAGAGGGAGAAAGTGTTTAATATTCAACACGTTAAGTAGAGCCTGTGGTATTCTGCTAGCCCCTCTCTTCTTGTTGCATTGATTTAAAGGTCATGAACAGTCAAAATCATGTTTTTCATGAAATTGGATGATATTTAAAGGAAACCAGATCAAAGGATGATGACCAAAGTCTGAAAAATGACTGTTACTTCTACATTGATAAAGTTTGATCATAAAGTTAATGGTCCCCTCCCCCATGTCAAACACTTGGATTTATTATTAAGGGAACAAGGTAACATCATGTTAACTCTCATTTTAATACACCAATGGCAACGTGATATTCTCTTACCTAATTTAAATAAGTACCATCTTGTAACCAACATCGGAGAAGGCGTGTTTGCAGAGGGGCGTGGTTTATATAGATACAGTGCCTTGCAAAAGTATTAATCCCCCCCCCCCCTGTCGTTTTTCCAATTTTTTTGCATTACAACCTGTAATTTAAATTGATTTTTTATTTGGATTTCATGTAATGGACATACACAAAATAGTCCAAATTGGTGAAGTGAAATTAAAAACATAACTTGGTTCAAAAAATTCAAAAAAATAAATAATGGAAAAGTGGTGCGTGCATATGTATTCACCCCATTTGCTATGAAGGCCGTAAATAAGAACTGGTGCAACTAATCACCTTCAGAAGTCACATAATTAGTTAAATAAAGTCCACCTGTGTGCAATCTAAGTGTCACATGATCTCAGTATATATACACCTGTTCTGAAAGGCCTCAGAGTCTGCAACACCACTAAGCAAGGGGCACCACCAAGCAAGCGGCACCATGAAGAACAAGGAGCTCTCCAAACAGGTCAGGGACAAAGTTGTGGAGACAAAGTACAGATCAGCGTTGGGTTATAAAAAAATATCTGAAACTTTGAACATCAAGGAGCACCATTAAATCCATTATTATATTGATTTGCACTTTTCACACCAAAGTACGTTCATCTCTAGGAGACAGAACGCTCCTTCCTGAGCGGTATGACGGCTACGTCGTCCCATAGTGTTTATACTTGCGTACTATTGTTTGTACAGATGAACGTGGTACCTTCAGATGTTTGGAAATTGCTCCAAAGGATGAACTAGACTTGTGGAGGTCTACACATTTCTTCTGAGGTCTTGGCTGATTTCTTTAGATTTTCCCATGATGTCAAGCAAAGAGGCACTGAGTTTGAAGGTAGGCCTTGAAATACATCCACAGGTACCCCTCCAATTGACTCAAATGATGTCAATTAGCCTATCAGAAGCTTCTAAAGCCATGACATAATTTTCCGGAATTTACCAAGCTGTTTAAAGGCACCGTCAACTTAGTGTATGTAAACTTCTGACCCACTGGAATTGTAATACAGTGAATTATAAGTGAAATAATCTGTCTGTAAACAATTGTTGGAAAAATTACTTGTGTCATGCACAAAGTAGATGTCCTAACCGACTTGCCAAAACTATAGTTTGTTAACAAGAAATTTGTGGAGTGGTTGAAAAACTAGTTTTAATGACTCCAACCTAATTGTATGTAAACTTCCGACTTCAACTGTAATTTACTATATACATTGCATTTGGAAAGTATTCAGACCCCTTGACTGTTCTACATTTTGCTACGTTACAGCCTTATTCTAAAATGGATTAAATTAATTTTTTCCCCCTCATCAATCTACACACAATACCCCATAATGACAAAGCAAAAATAGGTTTTTAGAAATGTTTGCATTTTAATAAAAAAAGAACAGAAATATCTTATTTATATACGTATTCAGATCCTTTGCTATGAGACTCGAAATTGAGCGCAGGTGCATCCTGTTTCCATTGATCATCCTTGAGATGTTTCTACAACTTGATTGGAGTCCACCTGTGGTAAATTCAATTGATTGGACATGATTTGGAAAGGACACACCTGTCTACATAAGGTCCCACAGTTGACAGTGCATGTCAGAGCAAAAACCAAGCCATGAGGTTGAAGGAATTGTCCGTAGAGCTCCGAGACAGGACTGTGTCGAGGCACAGATCTGGGGAAGAGTACCAAAAAATTTCTGCAGCATTGAACATCCAAGAACACAGTGGCCTCCATCATTCTTAAATGGAAGAAGTTTGGAACCACCAAGACTCTTCCTAGAGCTGGCCACCCGGCCAAACTGAGCAATAGGGGGAGAAGGGCCTTGGTCAGTGAGGTGACCAAGAACCCGATGGTCACTCTGACAGAGCTCCAAAGTTCCTCTGTGGAGATGGGAGAACCTACAAGAAGAACAACCATCTCTGCAGCACTCCACCAATCAGGCCTTTTATGGTAGTTGTCAGATGGAAGCCACTCCTCAGTAAAAGGCACATGACAGCCCGCTTGGAGTTTGCCAAAAGGCACATAAAGGACTCTCAGACCAGAAGAAACAAGATTCTCTGGTCTGATGAAACCAAGATTGAACTCTTTGGCCTGAATGTCAAGCGTCACGTCTGGAGGAAACCAGGCACCGCTCATCACCTGGCTAATACCATCCCTACGGTCAAGCATGGTGATGGCAGCATCATGCTGTGGGGATGTTTTCAGCGGCAGGAAATGGGAAACTAGTCAGTATCGAGGGAAAGATTAACTGAGCAAAGTGCAGAGAGATCGTTGATGAAAACCTGCTCCCAGGACCTATATCTGGGGCAAATGTTCACCTTCCAACAAGACAACGACCCTAAGCACAAAGCCAAGACCATTTAGGAGTGGCTTCGGGACAAATCTATGAATGTCCTTGAGTGGCCCAGCCAGAGCCCGGACTTGAACCCGATCGAACATCTCTGGAGACACCTGAAAATATCTGTGCAGCAACGCTCCCCATCCAACCTGACAGAGCTTGAGAGGATCGCAGAGAAGAATGGGAGAAACTCCCCAAACACAGGCATGCCAAGCTTGTAGCGTCATACCCAAGAAGACTTGAGGCTGTAATCGCTGCCAAAGGTGCTTCAAGAAAGTACTGAGTAAAGGGTCTGAATACTTAAGTAAATGTGATTTTTTTTATGCATTTACAAACATTTATAAAACCCTGTTTTTGCTTTGTCATTATGGGGTATTGTGTGTAGATTGATGAATATGGCTGTAACGTAACAAAATGTGGAAAAAGTGAAGGGGTCTGAATACCTTCCGAATGCATTGTATATAAAAAAAATTACATATCATTGATGCAATTTCAATGTTGTTTCTTTGTGTATCACCAAATTAGCTTGAGATGATTTTACTGCAACATTGGTCACTGCATCCAAGTTGCTTGACATTTCAAAGAGATGTCAATCAAGGCGAGCTCATGAATATAAGCTCCGCACCCACTCAGCCTGTCTTTTCAAACTTCCTGGTAGTTAGCCATGAGAGAAAGTACTTTTCAGAATGACTGTTCAGCACCTTTTAAAAGATCAGGTTTAATATTGCAGATAGATTGTGGCTTCCATCAATGTAATTGTCTGCATCATTTCCAATATATATTATTGATCGATGGACTATGACTTTAAATCACCCAGCAGTGCTATTTGCAATTCTTCAGCCATTCCTAAACCTGCGACCAAAAACAAGCTACATATGGATAGTACCAAAACAAATTATCTAATGAGTCGGTCTCTTCACAGCAAACTCTGCAGAGCTGGGATGGTTGTATTCCCCAATATTTATAACATTCTATTGGTTGCAAGAACTCGAAGTTTTGAATCCAGCGTCGTTTTGTGGATCAGTTCATAAACCATGTACAATGGAATCGGTACATAAAAATCTCTTCCCAACTATTTTGCAATCTATATGTTACAAACGAGACTCCCGCTGTTCCTCCTGCTCACCACCAGAGGGAACCCTCTCCTGAGTATTAAACCCCTGAACTACATTTCCCACATACCTGGCTCTGATTACCGTTGCACCTGACTCCCATCAGTAGACTATTTAGGTGCTCTCAAACTCTCTCTCTTTGCGAAGTCTTGTTTACCCTGGTGATCATTTCTGAGCGTTTTCGCCTGTGTCTGTCTGCCCGTGGATTTACTCTGGACTGTTTTTCCCTCCTTGATTCTTTGCTGCCTGCCCTGGACTATATTCTTTACTGGACTGATTTTTGTAAGCTTGCTGCCTGCCCTGACCTTATGCCTGTACCTGGATTACGAGTTGCCTTATCCCTACTGTTGTGTCTGCTGGCGATTGACCCTGTTTGTACGACCAAGATTGTAATAAAACTGCAAATGGATCCTCACTCTCCTGGAGCGTCATTACAGAAGACTTCGCCAACACACGATCCAGCAGCTCTGGTTCAGATGTCCACGGAGATCTCCACTCAAGCTCACCAACTCGCCATTCATCAACAGCAGCTAACCCATTTAACTACAGTAACAGAGGAACTCGTCAGGACGCTACAGAGGTTGCCGGTGTCGCTAACGAACCCAGCCCCTCCTCCACCGAACGCGAGTGTGGGCGCTTCTCCACCACCGTCACTCACAGTTAACCCACGTCTGGCTCTCCCTGATAAGTTCGACGGC